CAGGAGTCCAGAAGTGGTCAGAGAAATGGCAGAAATGTATGTCTTGTTGTCATTGTATTTACTATTACTGCATATATCTGTCAAATATATACATTATATGAAAACAAGTGATTATCAAATAAATAGTTATTTCTGTGATATTTGTCATCAAATTGTTTAGAGAAAGAGTTCAATGAATGGGACAGAAGTGATGGACAGGTCTTATATGGTATACGAAGGCATTCGTCAATACATGCAATACGTGACCACAAATCAGTTGAAATCTACGAGATTTATGTCACAAATGAGTGGCCCATCAGTCGTAATACCGGTGCAACACTTCAATCAAAGTTAGTTTCATTTCTTTCTACAATCACATTAACAATTAGACTCAATATTGTAGTCTTTGAACACGACGTCCACTTAATTGATATTTTAATAAATTAACCTTTCTTGTTTATATTTACTATTACTGTTATATTAATATTCCTGTAATATTTTAATCATTTATTAAAAAGTTTAAAAAATTTCTTTTTTATTTTCATATACGTAAAATGTACACGTAATCATTTAAATAATTACCTTGTTTCTGTAAATAGGTTAATAGTACTGTAATATAAAAATGATACACTGCATGACAATATAGCATCTAGTCTAATTTACATTTCTTTATTAACTATAGTCTAATCAAATGAATATCTAATTATGATTTAGAGAACAATTTGAATGAGGATTTGAATGAATTGAATGTCAATGAGAATAAGTTTATTAATAAAGAGTTAGTCAAAGAGAATATAATAATTGGCGAGAAAGCAGTCAACGAAAGCCCTGTCAATGAAAAGTCCAATACTAGAGCCAAACCTCGACTCAATGATAATTGTCGACAAAATCTAAGTCAACGATCAAAAGAACGTAAAGTTCCGGCCAATAGAGTGAGTCGATTCGCATCTTTCGGGAGTTTAGCGGTTGGTCTCGGATTTGGAGCACTCGAAGAGATGACGAAAAAGACTTTAGGAATTTCTTCGCGCTCTTCGCAAAGCATTTTGGGATCAAATCCATTGCTGACGGAAGCGAATGCCAACCGAATCGTCGACACGTTGTGTCGCGTGAGAGGAGCGGCCCTTAAATTGGGACAAATGCTGAGCA